GGACGGCCTGAGACCTCGCCTCCGCCTCGGGAGATGCCCCCTTTCCACCAGCCACCGCCCGGCCCCACCGCCTGCAGCCCCTAGAAGTTGGCAGGTGCCTGAGCCCGGGTCCTCGCACCGGGTGGGAACCGTGGGCCTGGCAGTGAGCTGGTATTTTAGACATTTGGGGAGGTCTGCCGTTTGCTAGATCCTGAGTCCCCGAACTCCCCAGTCTTGGAGCAGCAAATGGCAAAGCGAGTGCTTCTTATTAGTCACCACCCGAACGCAAGTGGGTTCTTCAGAGTCACCCGGGAGCCCTTCCCCACGCCACCCATTCCGTTCACAAGGGCACCAATCGGAAGGGAGAGCCAAGCAAAACCCACTGAAGTCTAGACCTGCTGGCACGCCCCCGCCCCCCAGCCACACGGAGCTTTCAGGCATTTGAAATGTGGTTAATCCAAATCCAGGTGGGCCATAGTATGAAATACACACCAGGTTTTGAAGACTTATACTAGAAAAAGAATGTAAACTGTCTCAGTAATGTTATATGAATTACACGTTGAAGTGATAAGATTTTTGATACATTGGCCTAAATAACATATTTTAGTGTAACTACAAGAAAATTTAAAATTATACATCTGACTTACATTTGTGGCCCGCATTATTTTTCCCTGGGACAGCACGATTTGGAGGGGAGAGAGGAAAATGCTTATTCCTGTCGGTGTATTCTGTACCCCTAAATTCTGGTAGGAAGGATTTGAGGGTTTTATTTTGTATTAACATCTTAAGACCCATTTTTAGGTAGAAAGAATGAATGAGAAATCAACTCTGGAAATTATTCAACACCTTAGCATAGTCTAGAAGAGGTGTAGGGAAGCAACTACATTGCATTATGGCGCCGCAGAAGCATCATGTAACAAGGTCAGGCCCGAGTCTGGCTTTGCCCTAGAATTACTTTTTGATCTTAGCAAAACAACAACAGAAAACCCCACCTATGTTGGCCTTTTAGTGTTCTCAGTTTGTAGCAGAGATAATGCCTCTGCCTTACTTTCGAGGGATAAATGAGATGATCCCTGTAAAATGCTTTGAACTCCACTAAGAAAATTCTCAATAATAGTTACAGGTCAAATCCTGTTACAAAAAAATACTCAAAAAAAAAAAAAAAGGCACTGTGTAGAAAAAGATTTCTAAACTCCAGCCAGTGGTTTACTTATTAAAAGCAATATTTGCTATGACATTTCAGTACACCTAAAGAATTTAGACCATCGCTTTGAGATCATTGTAAAGAATTGTACTTATTCATACTGTTATAAGGCTATTGAGGTGGGAACTCTGCAAATTGAGGTAATATCATCAACTTAGCATTTATTGATTTTGCTATACTGTGTACTGTGAGGGATGCTGGAAGACAGAAATAAATACTGTATATGGCTCCTATATTTTGTGTTCAGATTTGTGTTAGACACATTTGTAATTTCTTACTGTGTGACTGTTTTTTAACTGTTCCTTTACACAGTAAAATTGAGTAATGTATCCACATTGTACCTAGATTTTAGTGGAAAACTTCAAGGCTCAGAAATTGTTTAATTAATCCAGTATAAATCAAATCAGTATTAAAATCCACAATCACACCAGTGCAACTTATTCTTTTACCCCATGTTACCTTTATTGATGGAGAAATTAAATAATCACTACAAAACATCAAATCACCCTCTTTCACACCCAAATTAGACATTAAGTGAATGGTTCAAGGTAGAATTGATGGTTTAGTGATTGCCCCAAAAAATCCAAAGTACTCACTATGCAGAAAGGCAAAGCCAAAATGGAAAATTGGAATATATTCTGTTATCATAAGAGCTTTCCATGTATTGTTCCACTTATTCCTATCAACAACCACATGAGGAAGATACTATTAACCCATTTTGGGCAGAAGATGAAACAGGCCTATGATCACATGGTTCCTGGATGGAAGAACAGGTAGGTATTAAATCCAATCTAACCCCAAAGCTTGCTCTGAACCATGCCTTCACCATACACAGCAGAAAATGGAATAAGGGACCTCTAAGGTCCCTTACAACTAATAAAGACACACCTAATAATACTATACCTCTGACTATCAAGCAGCCCGGTATCTAAATAAAAGCTGTTTCTAAGCAAATAAATTAGCTCCTGTCTCAATTACTTTTGAAGAGTTAACCATGTAGACTTACAACCCCTAATGCTTTTCATAATCTTTAAACTGATTTGTAGGAACTGATGTATCTTGCAAAAGAACATTTAACTAAAGTTAGTGTAGTAATTCCTTCATTTTGCTTCAGCGTCAGTTTCTTCTGTTGAATTTAAGTAACAATGTATGTATGGTATGTATATTAGCCTTTTGGGAACTTTGTCCCCACTTGTATGTATGTATAGATGGATAGATATAGTTATTTCTAGGTAATATAATTTTTGGATTTTACTTTGTACTTTTTCGTATTGCTTGATTTTTTATAAGAAATATATATCACCTTTATAAAATTAATAAAGTCTCTCAAAAAAGAAGAGTTGTCATGATTCCAAACACACCATGCTACAAGAGAGTTGGAGGTTTGAAGCCTAGATCATTGTCAGAGTTTTTATCTGGCCACCTAAGTTTCTTCAAACTTTATTTATTCCATTTAAAATGTGGAATTATTTACTATCATATAATAGTAAAATTAAGAACAAATTAGAGTATTAGAAGAAATAAGAGGCCTAACAGTGAATGCTATATCTGTAAACATTTGAGCAAGTCATAAATGGAAGGATAGAGTCTAAACTGTTGTTTTCAGAAATTATCTATCAGGTTGGTGGTTTATATCCTGAAATTCTATTAGAAACACCATCAGCCCTAGCCGGTTTGGCTCACTGGATAGAGCATCGGCCTGGGGACTGAAGAGTCCCGGGTTCGATTCCGGTCAAGGGCATGTACCTTGGTTGCGGGCACATCCCCAGTAGGGGGTGTGCAGGAGGCAGCTGATCGATGCTTCTCTCTCATCGATGTTTCTAACTCTCTATCCCTCTCCCTTCCTCTCTGTAAAAAATCAATAAAATATATTAAAAAAAAACAAAACACCATCAAGATCTCTGTTTTTTTATAAATCCACTCTCTGTGTCATATCAACTCTGGAAATTAAGAGATAAAACATTTTTATTTCATATGAAACAATTTAAAGTACTGTTTAAAAATAGGTACTTTATGCAGAAAAGATTAGAAGTAAAGATGACCAAATGCTAGAAATGAATGCTTATGGCTTATGACAGGTGGAATTGTGGGTAGTTCTTTTGCTGTCACTTTACATTTTTCTGCATTTTCTAAGTTTTTTGCAGCGAGCATGTATTACACAGATAATCAGTTCAGAACAAAAAGCCCAAGAAGTGTTTACACCCAAATTGGAGTATTAGAAGAAATAAGAAAAATAATTTAATTAAGCTAGTTCATTTTAATATTTTAAAAGTTTATTTTATAAATATCTCATGCAGAAGAATTCCCAATAATTTATCTTATACTTCACCTTCAAGGAGGTGGAGCATAACTCCTCCAACAAACACACACACACACACACACACACACACACACACACACACACACGGCTGCATATAGTGACTTTCTTCCAAAGAGTACAATATGGAAAGGGAAGGGCGGTGTGGGAGAGTAGCTTGATAATGGAAAAGGCTGACAAACACTATTTCAGCCAGGTGATCAAGTTCAAAATCTACAAGTCATGTTGATAGTAGGTGCCCTTGATATGGTAATAAAAATGGTACTTTACCCCAAAACTCATAATCCTAGCCTAATAATGAGAAAAACATCAGATAAATCCCAATCGAGGAATGTCCCTGACTAGAACTCCTCAAAAATATCAAGATCATCAAAAACAAGGAAAATCTGAGAAACTGTCACAGCCCAAAGAAGTCATGTCATGACAAGTTAATGTAATAGGATATCCTAGAACAGAAAAGACAAAGGACATTAGGTAAAAACTAAGGAAATCTGATTGGTCCATTAACTGATACAAATGAACTAATGTAAGATGTTGATAATGGGAGTATGTGGGAACTGTCTATACTGGCCTCACAATTTTTTTTGTAAATCTAAATCTGTTCTACAAAATAAAGTTTTTTAAAAAATATATATTTTATTGACCAGAGAGAAAGGGAGGGGGAGAGAGAGACAGAAACATTAATAATGAGAGAGAATCATCTATTGGCTGCCTCCTGCACGCCCCACATCAGGGATCGGGCCTGCAACCCAGGCATGTGCCCTGCCCAGGAATCGAACCGTGAGCTCCTGGTTCATAGGTCAACGCTCAACCACTGAGCCACGCCAGCCTAGCCAAAAGTTTTTTTAAAGTTAATTTTAGCCTTCTGTGACTTTTATAAAAAAAATCTTTGTAAAGGTTGTAATGCACATGAAGGCGGTGTGTTTTCTGAGTTACAGAGATTCATGATATGAAACCCTATCCTGTCCCCCCAAAATGCAAAAGAAAAAAGTAAAAATAATGTACCATAAGTCATCTCCAACAAAAAGCAAACCACTACCTAAGACTTCTAGTTATCCAATTAACATCTGTATTAGATTTATTTTCCAAAGGGTCAGATATCATTCCAAGATACTGTCCTGACTATAACTGAGAAAACAGACATTTTCAAGCACAAACTTTTATATAAATTATATAATATGTACTTAAATATATATTGTAAATATGCACATATGTATATAAAATTTAAGGATCATATGTCTATATGGATCAAAGAGCAAGTAAGGGGGTGGGCAGGATGGAAATAGAAAATGTAACTTTGTAGGAAAAACAGATTTCCAGATGTGCCAATGAAGCAATGCTATTATTACTTAGTCTGAAATAGCCTTCTTCATGTCAATAGATGGTGGTCAAAGAGATTTTGAACAAAATGTAGAACATTTAGGATCTAAGATAAATTCCTGTATTGCCATATAGCATCAGAATTTGTGATTTTTTCTGATTTCTGTCAGTCAGAAGACTGAGTCACTTAGCAACAGATGATGGAAGATATAAAACTTGGAAGATGAATGGAACCAAAAAATCTTCTGAAATTTTTATGAGTATCTGTGGATTTCTTTAAGTAAATACATACATAAAAATAAGGTCACCACTGAGATAGATTATATACAAATATAATCTTAATGAGTTTTTTTCTAAGAAAAGAATGATACATTCTAGGGGAAAATTTTCTCTTAAGTATCTTCAGTTCTTTTGGAAGAAAGTGCCAGGTCAAATATGAACCTTTAAGTTTTTTCATTCAAGACACTCATTACACTGAATGAACCACAGAATATAATTTATCTTATCCTAGATTTTGGGTCCTGTTAAAAATGTGAAAAATACAAAAGGATCATTGGACTATCATTCAATTATTCAAGTACATTATTCTGAACAAATGGTGGGTTGTGTTTAGTTGTTAAATATGAAAGTTTGGATATGAATGGAATAAAGATAGGTCTTATTTAATTTGGGGGAGGGGTACTTTAGTAAAATATATATACACACACATACTCATATACTAGGTAAAGCTTTTGGACCAGAATTTAACTGTTATCTTTTAAGAACCTGTGTCACTACTTCAAAAAAATTATGTACCCAGTAAATGTGTCTTTTTCCCTTCTCATAGCAGCTGTTTCAAACACAAATGGAGAAATAAATGAGAAAAATTCCCTACATTTAAAATCCACCAAGAAGAGAAAATCAGGGCGTAGTCCAAGCTAAACCTGGAGATCCTCCCAGGTTCCATAGATTGACCCGAAAACCAGGAGTGCAGCTGGAGCTCTTCTTCCTTTAGCAGTGCAAGTGCTGGTCAGAAAAGTTTCAAACACATGGAGCTTAGCAAGACCACCTGCTCCTAACATAGGACAATGGCCCCTGAACCACCAACTCCATTGCTTCAATACCAGCTCTCCTTCACGGCAGATGACAGGCTTTATGCTAGAAGTTTCCCAGTAAAAGAGTAAGCAAAGAGAAGCTAAAGGTCACATCTATGACTGGAGCTCATAAATTAGGAGTGAAGTGGATAGATTAAAAAGCTGAAACTGAAGTCAGTCTAATAGTAGAACCAAACAACAATTGCCTAGATATCAGCCCCAGCAAGACAGAGTTAACGTTCAGATCCTCACTTGGCAAGGGCCTGGGCTTCCAAGTGCTATGGAGCCACCAAGAAGTAGAAAGGAACTTTGCCCAGCTGCTCATGCATCCCTGAAGCATGACCAATCTCAGTGGGTATGTGACATCACCCAGAATAGTTAACCTATAATCTCTCAAGGTCTCCATCTCTTGGCCCTCTCAACAAGAGGAGAGGAATCACAATGGCCAGGCTCCACTGCTTGCCCAGCTCTTCCAAAAGAGTTGAGGTCAACTAGAAGTTCGAATTTCCCTGATGTGAATCTTTAGTCACATATGAGATAGCATGTTGAATTGGTGTTCAATTAAAGGGCTAAAAAGCAATATTTAATATTTTGTAGGTTAAGAGAATTAAAGTTAATATCAACTATTAGAAGAAAATTCTCCATTCAGTAACCTATGTTAACCCACATGGGGAAATCAATGAACAACGGCATTTTAAATGTTTAAGCAGTTAGGTCATGACGCGGTCTAGGTGGAATCCACGAGGAGACAGAGGAAGTAACTGAAAGTCTTGGCATCACACAACTTCCATAATGCTGGTCTTTTGAAAACTCTAAATCCTTATCCCTTGGGATAATTTTTTTTAAGTTTTTAAAAGTTTAGGAAATAAAATTATTAAATTTGTTCAACGGTCTTCCTTGTTACAGTTAAATCACTTCTTCAACAGAACCCAAGATAAAGTCATAAAATCAACTTGAGAAGAAACAAGAGAATAGAAGTGTTTGGAACAAATATATTCCAAACTGCTTACATAACTCGTGGAACATCCATAGAAGAGAATACTAAGAAGCTGTGATAAAGAACAAGGAAGAGCTCATATCCACTGTTATAGAGGATCTCTAATATACATTAAGTGAAAAAAGCAAATGCATAACTGCATATCACATATTGTCATTTGTTCGGGGGAATTAT